GTAAGTAATCCTATAATTTTTTGTTTATAGCATAGTTTATACAGATTATTCCCAAAAAATTATACGTATTTTGGAAATGTTGAGTGGAATTAGTCTAGAATCGGTTAATTTTATAGAAGAAAACCTTTCAAACAGCCTTAGTCCGTAAAGTTCCCACCTATCGGGCTGCGATTGGCTCATGTATTTAATCGTTCCTACAATGTAATTTTCGGTTAGCGTGGAACGTATCTAAGCGTTATAGGGGGGTCTACTGTACTTTAATTTTTTTTTTATAATATTATTTACTTTATATGCGATAAAAGAGAATAATTAAACTAATTTTCGATACTTTAAATTATTTACTATTAAAATAAACCACTATCAGATATAAAATAGAGTTTTATTTTTAAAAAAAACTACGACCGCCGACCTTGTACCGCGTCACGACGCTACACGACGTGCTGGCGGTCGTAGCTAGAACCGGTTTGCCATACGACCGCCGGTGTTCGAAGCCAACTGAATAGATGTCCACGAGAGGCCAGCACTAAGCATGCAGAAAACGTCGTACAACACCAGGAAAATTTAACCTTGAGTAAAACTACATTGTTTACGTCTACCGGCGGTTGTATGGCGCTGTACGGAAATTTCCATTACGACGACGCGCGCGTCATATGGCGTTAAACGTGTTAAGCAATAGTGGGCTAGAATACAGAATATACATAGTAGGCATCCTTATGACCTGGCCCATAGCATAAGGACTCCATAGCACTCCATAGCAGGCATCCTTATTACCTGGCCCAGGATTTTGTTGACAAAACTGCATCAAACAGCTGGTTAGCTCAGGGATGCCTTTTTGGGAAGAAAAAAAGGCTTCATGATTGCCATACAGGATCAGGTCATAAATACTAAAAACTACAGAAAACACATACTCAAAGATACAGATACAACATTCACGAATGACACATGCAGAAAATGTCACATCATGGCAGAAACTATACAACACATCACTTCTGGTTGCAAGCTCTTGGCACCATAGACATACTTACATAGACACAATCAAGCAGCAAATATAATACAGCAAGAGTTTGCAAAGAAACACAAATTGGTAGACATTCATGAACCATACTACAAGTATATTCCACAGACAGTTTTGGAAAACAACATGCACAAAATGTACTACAACAGAGCTGTAATCACAGATTTACCACAACAGACCAGACATCACACTCATTGACAAACACAATAAAATCACATACATTATATAGACATAGCCATCCAAACACTCACAATGTACAAAACGCACTGAAAAAATTAGCAAGTACATAGAACTTGCCCAGGAAATAAGACATCTGTGCAGGATGGAAAGGGTGCTTATTGTACCTGTCATTCTCTTTTGTACAGGTGTGATACCACACACACTACACAAAAGCCTGGGAACATTACAATTGAATAGAAATACATATATCACACTACAGAAGGCCACTATATTGAATACATGTAATATTGTTAGGAAATTCTTAAATACAGACACAGACACTGATACACTTATTTAATTTTAGTTTTGTTTTGGTTGCTATGCCTTGACTCTGGTCTAGTATAGTACACTGCCACCGGTGTCAAACTAGTATAACCTACTAAACTCAACATAATAATAATAATAATAAAAAGAAAATATCTTTGTAACAACAGACAATATGGGGCAATTCTAAATATATGAGTAAAATTTCAGGAGCTGATTCATTGAATAATTTCAACATGTTCAAAATGACAGTTTTAAAGTCACAGAATGCTTAATACATAGTCCTATTGAAAATGTTGACAAATTATGGCATTGTATTGTCACACCCTGTGAAATAATTTGATACATCCCCAGAACACTCATGAAATCAGTTCAATCTTTTATTACAGTCACTGTTGGTCATTTTCAACAGTTATTAAAGCTATGCCATTTTGAAAACATGTTAATAAGCACCTTTATGGTTGAAATTATTCAAAAGAATTAGTCCTTGATATTTTCTGCCATATTTAGAATCACCCAGTATTATGAGAACTGTAACTGTTAATTCTACTATATTTAGAATATATAAATTGTCAATAAAGCTAATAATTCTGTTTCCTAACGGCTTCTAAAAAAAGAGTGCTTTGTGAAAATAAAAATCACACATTTTTCAAGTAGACAATGATTAATAAGTGTGTTATATTTAAAATTTTAATGATAAAATATGCAAATATTTTTACCAATAAAATTAATCCCATAAATATATCTCAAGATTGTACTTACATCCTATTATGATTATTGTAATCTGGTAAATCACATTGAGTTCCATCACTATTTAACCATTCTATGGTAAACGAAGGCATCGGACTACTCCTTTCCGAAACAGATGATGTTTTTTCAATCGAACTACTGGATACTTTTCCCGCCGAAGATTTGGATGTCACGCTAGGATTCGAAGGTATTCGAATCCTCTGGTTTCTTTTTGGAAAAGTGGAGATTCCGTCAAAACCCGAAGAACAATAAGGTTCCTCTCGATAATTAGCATTAATATGTGAATGATTTGGAACGAGACGTTTTCCAGAATGAGATAATCCATGAAAATGTGATAATTCAATACTTTGTGTTGGAGATGCACCAGAATAACTGTATTGTGAGCAAGGTGACGAAGCAAAACTATATCTTCCACTATCTTTTATAGCATATCTTCCACTGTCAATAGGTGAATGATAAGAGTGTGGATCAGACCCTAATATGGATTCAGTAGCAGAACTACTAAGAAGCGAGTCACCACTTCTGGACGTATAAACAGAAAAATTTGGTGGCGAAGAATACCTAGATGATGGCACCGTTGGAAAACAAACAGAACTTCCTCCATGCGTATGATGAGGATGAGGATGAAGAATTCCATGTTGACTGCTGTTTAAAGAATAAAATGGCATGCTATTGTGAAAAAGATTCTGTGATGTCATACCTGTCACAACTAAGCTAGTTTGAGCAGAAGTAGGATACATGTGTCCTGAATTGCGAGTACTAAGAGGCCTTTCGGATGATGATAAATTAATGTGATTATTATGATTATAAGATGTAACTGATATTCCTGTTTTGTATTGAGAAGAATCAGATGAATTTAAACATTCATTATCAGATAGGACGTAATGTGCCGAACGTGGCCTTTGTTTATTACCCTTATTTTTATAATACTCTATAACATCTTTATCTCTATGTGCTGAAACTACAGAATAATCTACATAAGAATTTGTTGTTGTATTTCCCGTATAAGATAAAGGAGTTACATATTCCAATTGATCAGAATTCTGATTTTGACAATTAGATTTAATAGGTGTATCAATATCAGGTGAAGTATAAGATCCAGAACTGGAATTTCTTGTTGTGCTAACAGAAGGAGAAAGAACGGGAATACTAGTTAAAGTAGAACAATCTGAAGACTGAGAACTACGTTGACAGTCTAAATATAATAAATGATCTCTATCTGACATGTTAATTGGGCATTTTCTTTCCTTTTCATTACGATGATCCATTACATGGGCAACTTTTGATTCGGACAAGTCTTCATCCACAGTTTTACAATCACGTACATTAAACTGTTGAGCAAAAGTACTTAAAGATTTTCTCTCTCTTCTTCGATAAGACTGTAGTGTTCCTGCTTCTGCATAATGTAAATGAGGCCCGCGATGTTTGTATTTTGGCCAAGTACCACCATTTTTATCCTGTTCTTTTCTAGAGCCAGTTTTAAATGATTTAGATGAAGACACTTTACTATAATAATCTAGTACAGAATCTAATTCTGCTATAGGATCATCATTTCCTAACAAAGACGAAGGTGAGTGAGATGAGCAAGATTTTTTGTCTTTGCCATGTCTTCTTTCTCCAAATAGTTTATAATATGCTTTATCTAATAAAGTCGGTTGAGGCGACTGACAATCTGTCCAATCATTTGTTTCTTTTCGACTTCTCTGTAAAGAAGATAATATTTTATTGTGTTTATTCACCGAATGTTCTACAATATCATCTGTCTGGACACTACTAGATGTCATAACTTTCTCTTCCATATCAACAATACAAGGTTTAGATGGGATATCATCAGCTAAAAAAGAAAATTTTGAATTACTTTACCGAAAAGTTTGAGACATTTTTATTCAAAAATATTTTTCTTAGAATTATCATCTCTATCTAATAAATAATCTATACATAAAAAAAAACAACACTTAAGATTTTTTGTATACTTTTAAATAACTCTTACCGTAAAAAAAAATTCAGTTTGTTTTGTGAAATTATTATTTAAAGAGTACACGTAAGTTCTTTTAACATCCTCAATTCATCAATTCTTTATTATAAATATGAATTATTTTTAACTAATGAAACTTACTGATTTCTGTTGGTGATTTCTTCTTTTCTACCTGATTTACAGCATGTCCATTAGGAAGTGAATTAGATGTATTAGAAGGAAAACTGGCACAAGGAGCACATTTTGAAACCTGAAGTATTAACATAGAACCACTAACGTCAATTAAATCTTGTACATCCCTGATTGATTGGATACTTTCAACAGATTTTCCATTAACCTTTAAATTAAACATATATTTTAAATAAATAAAATATTCAATAAATTTCTTATATATAAAGGATTCAATAAATCCTTACTTTAATATTTAAAATATTGGATAATAGAATATACTTTGAATTCGTACAAATATTCCTAACTTGGACTAATGTTAATCGGGACCGTAGAGGTGAAGTTGAAAGCAATTTGGAGGTCTGGAGGAAGTCAGAGTTGAAAAATGTACTGACTGACCTCAATACAAAATCTTAAGAAAATACTATTTTAATATTTTCACACTATATTGTATTATCTTAGTCATAGTTGGTAATTTCTGTATTTAAGATTATAACCAATATTAAATCCTCATTACTATAAAACACCACCAAATATGAAAAAAACCCCTCTCATATAATATAATAATTATTATTATTACAATTATTATTAGACATTTAAATATAGTTTAAGCCTAAAAAGTAGCCTAATGATTCATATGATGATGAAAGAACACAATTTACCATTTTAATAGGCATTAACATTGGTAAATTATCCTGGTAAGATTTTATAAAAAGCTGGAGGTTTCACTACTGACTCCATAACCTTAATGTTAACTTAAAACAATAATTTTCTCAAAAGTCAACAATGCCATTTGTAACATATTAATCTTTTTGTTTTTAAGAACTAGCATCCTAGAAAATAAACTTAAGAATATATTTTAATACAATAAAATACAATTATCCAAATAATGATTATCAAGATTGCCCTCTGACTTAAAAATAAATAGGCACATATGTATACATACTGTACATACATGAACAGTAATTTTTCTAAATGCAGAAAATAAACTATATTCATTTGTTGGCACATTTCCATATTTAATATTTTATTTGCACAGCATTATGCCCATGTATAATGGAGTGTTTGAATAGAAAGAAAAGAAAAAAAAAAATTATTTTAAGCAAAATCCAATTATCTGGATGGCTTGAGGTCCCACAATTAATTCAGATAACTGGAGTTTTACTATACATTGTGAAACTAAGTTTTAGTTAGAAAAATTACTAGTAGTAATGTCCTAAGTTTACTAAAATAAAAGAACTCATAAAAATTTGTAAGTCAATATTTATATACCAAATCTCATTAAGAATTAGATTTCTTAAAAACACTAAAAAGAACTGACTGAGTGTATAATGTAGAAAACATTTCTCAATAGTTTAACCAAAACATAGAAAAAAATTTTTATTAAATTGTTTTCTTATACTCGAATTTTATGAAAATAACCTGCAGGCTATCTGTATTTAAAAGTCAATTTGAAAGAAAGTGCAAGTTATGCAATAATGCAACATATCCGTCAATTTTAACTTGCAATTACAAATTCATCAAATAGCTTTTCTTTTGTTTAACCTATTCAATGTTGAAATTTTTATTTGTTGCCTGTGATGTCATGTTGAATTTTCAGTGATGTTAAGCCTAAAAAATTTTATTTTATTTTTTTTAAATAATCGTGTTTACTGTATTGTTAAAAATTATTTTTTATCTTGCACAAACAAAATAAATATATTGAATAATGTAGAAAACAAAAAAAAATTATATTTTAAAAGTTCATTTTAATATAAAAATTGTGACACAGTGAGTGACATGTAGTATCAAAAATGTTCTGATGTAAACATGAAAATATTTGGGATCACTCACGCAGGTCAATGAGGTCAAAACATTTTTGGGTTTCAGGTTAAAGTCATAAAGGGTATCTTTAGAAAACTATGAAAAATTCTTTAAGCATTGCAGACAATCATCTGCCAGTGCAATTTTTCCATAAAAACACTTATAATAATGTTAAATAAAAATTGCCAGGACATATATGAAAAATATATTTTCTGTAAAACTTATAATGCCGTGCCTTTACTTCTCTACCATTCATTTTCTGTGTATCAATTCATGTTCTAATTGATATTACATACCTTTACTCAAACTTCTATCTTAAAAGTTGATAAGTTTCCAGTAATTTTTTCTATGTAATAACTCTCAGAGAACTATTTAGAAAGTTCTGTTTAAAAACAAATTTTTTGTTTAATTTTTTAAATTATAACATTATTACTATTATTGTGTTGGTAGAGTGTATTCTACATGACATATATACTAGAGCTTAGTGCTATGCTAAACCAAAGTCAAAGCATAACTATAAAAAAACAAATGTTTTGTTTATGTGCTGTTTACATATGTATCTGTGTTTAAGAATTTCCCAACTATGTGACATTTGTTTATTGTGGCAGCCTTCTGTAGTGTGAGGTATGTAATGTTCTGAAGCCTAATGGTTTGGTTTTGTTTATTTATATACAGCAAAATGACATGTGGGTTATTTGCTGAAGGAGATAATACCTCCAGGAGGACTTTCTAAGGAAAATTGGTCTATATTTAGTTGTTACAACTGTGAAAATCCAGAAAACTCCATGTAGCCAGCCGGTTGGCAATGTGCAAACACACAACCAACTACTACTAGTGTTTGGTAGTTTTATCCATTCAGCTACTGGTAGGCTGTGAAGCCTAATATTTTGAGACTTTTGTTAGTTTATGAGGTTTGATGCTTGTGCAAGAAAAGACTATTGATACAGTAAGTACTCATTTAGTTTCTACAAATGCTTTATTATTATTATTATGGTGAGTTTATGGATTATACTCAGTCGACCCCCATATAACACTGTTGATAATTCCGTTTTATATTAATTCCATGTTGTACGAGTCACTTAGATTTTACGAATACATGAGCCATTCACAGCCTGGCACAATTATTTGTAAAATCTAAGTGACTCGTACAACATGGAATTCATATAAAACATAATTATCAACAGTGTTATTGGGGAGTCGGCTGTATACTATGCCAGACCAGAGTCAAGGCATAGCAACCAAAGCAATACTAAAATTAAGTAAATGTATTAATGTGTGTCTGTATTTAAGAATTTCCTAACAATATAACATGTATTCAATATAGTAGCCTTCTGTAGTGTGATATATGTATTTCTATTCAATTGTAATGTTCCCAGGCTTTTGTGTAGTGTGTGTGGTATCACACCTGTACAAAAGAGAACGACAGGTACAATAAGCACCCTTCCCATCCTGCACAGATGTCTTATTTCCTGGGCAAGTTCTGTATACTTGCTGATTTTTTCAGTGCACGTGTTTTGTACATTGTGAGTGTTTGGAATGGATATGTCTATAATGTATGTGATTTTATTGTGTTTGTCAATGAGTGTGATTTCTGGTCTGTTGTGGTAAATTGTTTTATCTGTGATTATGGCTCTGTCGTAGTATATTTTGTGCATGTTCTTTTTAATACTGTCCGTGGAATGTATTTGTAGTATGGTTTGTGGATGTCTAATAATTTGTATTGCATTTGTATTGTATTTGTTTGCAAACTCTTGGTGTATTATATTTGCTACTTGATTATATCTGTGTAAATAATCTGTCTGTGCCAAGAGCTTGCAACCAGAAGTGATGTGTTGTATAGTTTCTGGCATGA